CCACTTAGAGCGTGGTGTGTTATGCCAGCAGATTTATATGCCTGGGCTGGAGCCATAACACACGGAGGTCCTCCTAACCCTAAATGATCTAGGTCAGCACTGTTCATGGGTTGCAAATGTTTGTGTTCCATTAATCATGCGATTGGACGTATTTTTGTCTTTGCTCGCAGTTATCTGAAGAGGGTCTAATAGAGATTTTGGAAAAAGTGAGTCGACAGACGGAGAAGAAGATGACGGTAAAGGTAAGCACGTTGGTAGGCCGGCTTTGTAGTCTGCATACTCCATGTCTCTGCACTCCATCCTGCAGTGTACAGAGTGGACACTAGAGGGCAGCACAGCGGCCACCTCCAGGAGTCTGTGAGCAGGGCTTCATTCCACCCTAAAACTTATCATGAGAGAGGTACGCGGGCTGCCATTGCTGCGTACCAAAATGCCACGTGGATCATTTGAAGAGATGTTACCAGCACACCAAAAATCCTTTCAGGGTAACCATGTGACACATGTCAAGTAAAAACAGGCGCTTTCGGGTCCATGTAGGGTCCATTCATCAGGCATAACATTAACCCTAACGTAATCAATGTTAAATGAGAATTATGAGGCAAGTGATTTTCAGTCAGCCTCATGATCTGAGCCGACGTGTGACAATGAGACTGTCACAGGTCGGCTCAGATCGGGAAGTGAGCAAACACATAACGTCGCTCGCTCACTTCTCGATCCTGTCCCTGCAGAGAGCCGTGACTGTCGCTCCCTGCAGAGAGCCGTGAGTGACAGTAACGGCTCTCTGCAGGGATTACATCCCCCGCCCCCCGCTCCGATCCTCCAGCGCTGACTGACGGAACGGCTGGTGGAGGGGCGGGCACAGCTGGCTCTGCCTCGAGATTGGCAGAGCCAGCTGTCACTCACGCAGCTGGGTGGATCTCGACAGCAATGCCAGTATCCGTTCCGGCGTCTCAGTATACCGCGAGCTGTAGCTCCCTATATACTGATAAGCCTGATGAAGGGTCCCTGTGTGGCCCCCATAAGTGCTTGTTTTTACTTGACATGGTTCTTATTAAATGAACACAAGGTTATCCTGAAAGGGTTTTTGGTGTGCTGGTGACATCTCTTCAAATGATCCACGTAACTAGCGGTGCCATCCGCAGTCACTACAAGCACCCTCCCCTGTTGTTGGGGTATCGGGTAAGGAGTGCAGCAAATCTCTCTCTATTCAAAAATGCCCCGTACCTGACTGCCATGCTGATCCTTGGGTCTCTGATCTGTAACACATGTGTAATGCGTTCTATTGCTACATGCTTCTTATGGGTCACTAACTCAAAGCATTGAAGCCACAGGATCAGCTTGACAGAAGAGCAGCCAGTATTTTCAAAAGACAGTCAGCAATTGCAGCCCTTTGTATCTCTCCCATGACGGGTTTCCTTTAAGGCTTGCATACACAGCCCTGTGACTTCAAGCGAAGGGACCACTCAATGCGGGAGCCTGCGGTGTCCTACAGAGTGTTCTCCGCATAATGCTGCCACAGAGAATTCTGTGATTGGAGGAGAGGCTTGTCACCTGACAGACAGGTCACATGGTCTGGTTCTTCCCTGGCCTTTGTTTTTTTTTTTTTTTTTTTTATTTCTTTGCTTAACCCCTTTCTTGATTA